GACGAGATGAACCTTTTTTTAATCCGCGACGTGAGGAAAATCCCGTGAGTGCGCTGCATGCGAGCAAATGGGAGTAAGTGGACTGGGACGGTTGGGCTGAATTGAATGGGCCGGACGAAATTTTGCCTTTTTATTATTAGGGATAGATTATGAACTATAGTATATGTTCTGATATACTCCCTCTGTCCCTAAATAACTGTCGCTGTTGGTGTACGTGCCGCAAGTTTAACTCGATTTGTAAAAAATATGTGCAACATTTATATCTCCAAATAAATTTATTAAAAAACTAGATCCAAATATCTTTTCAATGATACTAATTATGTACCATAAATATTAATATATTTTAATATATATTTAGTCAAAATTATTTCTCGGGAAATGAAAACGACATATATGCAGGGTCAGAGGGAGTGGAACGAGATCCTCTGCAGTCGGTGCCAGCGACTCTTCTCTGCAGTCAAGCATATCTGACCCTTCGTTTCAATCGAACGGCACCAGACTTTCACGCGCCCCTTCCTTCGCTGCGCAGGGCCTTGGCCCAACAAGCTCACGGCGCTGCTGGGTTTGTGCGAGCGTCTCTCTCTCAGGAATAGATGCGTTATTATTCTTAACCGTAGTCTGTAATCTCTCCCTGTGTGCTCAGATTGCATGTGCGTGTAATGCCATGGCTGTTTCTTTTTCTCCACCAAATTGGATACCTATTTAACAGTACAAATAATACCATGTCATGTTTATCAGGTGCGTTCCTCACCTAGTTACCTGGAACGACACAGGCACGCTGCTATCTGTCGTTCCAGAGAGACGCATCTATTCCTGAGAGAGACGCTCGCACAAACCCAGCAGCGCCGTGAGCTTGTTGGGCCAACGCCCAGCGCAGCGAAGGAAGGGGCGCTTGAAAGTCTGGTGCGACCTGGTCGCCGTTCGATTGAAACGAAGGGTCAGATACGCCTGACTGCAGAGAAGAGTCGCTGGCACCGACTGCAGAGGATCTCATTCCAGAGGGAGTACCACAACAACGGGCCATGCAGGGTCAAACATGAAACCTTTTGCACACGCAGATCTCTGTCTTGATGCAGATTAAGAGGGAGAGTAGCTCATGCTACTGTGTGTGCCGCGCTATGTATAGTGCCATGCAGTAGCAAATTAATTATTCACGCAACAGGAAGAATGACGTTGACAAAAATGTGATAGGATTTACTGTTTAATGTATTGTAGTTCTATGATCTGAGCCGCAGAAAATGGACCTAACAGTTACAGTACATACGCACCTAAGGAGGCAATGAAGATCGCAATTCACATGTACGGATAGATATTGCTCATATCATATTCATTTTCATATTTTTTAAGATTCATCAGAACTAGATACAGATACAAATGCATATTTGTTTTTGTTATAAATAAGAATTAATGTGCTTCGAATACGGGACAAGTTACATCTAGATAACGTTGCTCAAGAATATTTCTTGGAAACTGAATAAAGACAATATAATATCTACATGTATAAAATACAAAAAAGCACAAATTACCTCATATTTAAAGCATAAATTTATTTTTGATCAAATTGCTCAAACTATTCTCAAATTTATTTTTTTCTAAATTAAAGAATATTTGCATTCACTAACCATTCGTATTTATTTAGTTTACTTTTAAATTTTTAAAAATAGTAGTTGAATTTAAACTTTGTTCATAATTCATAGTTCTATATGAATTTTATAAAATATGGCCAATTATTATTCACTTACCGTTTATGGGCTGAAATTTATCTTTTGTTTTGAGTCAACAGAGCTGCAGTGATAATGTTTCACCGCCGGTTCAAAGACCGGCAGGAGGCAAAAACAATTTTTACCCCTGGCTTTTCGCCCACTACACCACACTTACAAACCAACGGAGGAAACAAGTTTCACCATTAATTTGAAAGTCGTGGACACGCGCAGTGGCCAACTGGCCTTTGAGCTAATGGGACTGCCAGCTTGTAAACGATGCAACGATGAAAATCACCACTGTTACCACCGCAATGATAGCTATTTTCACCGCTGGTTTGTTCGGCCACTGTCCTCCACCTGCTACAATGATCCGGTGGTGAAAAGCACCGAGAACAAAAACCACTTTTCAATCCTCGTCTTGATTACTCCCTCCACTTCTTTGCACGTGCCTTCCACCCTTTATTTCTTCCCCATTCTTGCGTCTTTTTTCACTAAGGTCCTCATGGAGGCGTGTGTTAGCTTGAACTTGTATTCTCAAACTTATATATCTCATGTTCTTGAGAGGACAATGTGGTCGGATTTGATTTATGGACTCTTGACTAGAACCTAATGTATATTTAAATGCATTGTGTATGTTGTGGGCATGATGTGATCATAATACTAATGCTACTAATTATTATACTATAATTAAATTAGTATTTTGAAAATTCATTATGACCTCCAGCTCTAGACAAAACGTTATGTTGATATGGTAAAATTGGCGATGGATGAAGACATCACCACCGGATCAAACGCCACACCGGCTATAAAACGATGAGCTCTTCATCACCACTGAATCAAATGACACACCGGCGAAGATGAGCTCTTCTTCATCACTGCCAGGTCTCACACCGCATCGACGGTAATGACCACTTCGTCATCACCAGATCAAACAACACACCAATGTTGACAATTTCTTCATCACCGCCGGATCTAACACAAACCGACGGTGATGTCTACTTCATCGTTGCCAGATCATATGCCAAACCGGCGGTGATAGAGACAACATTACCGCCGGATCAAATGACACACCGGCAATGATGAGCTCTTCTTCATTACCTCCAGATTGCACGCCGCATTGGCGGTAATGATCACTTCATCACTGCCGGCTCAAACAACACACTAATGGTGATGATTTCTTCATCACCGCTAGACCGTACGCCAAATCGACAGTGATGTCCACTTCATCACTGCCGGATCATATACCAAACCAAAGTTCAGCTAGGCGCTAGGCGGAATCTAGGCACTGACCCATTGCCTAGCGCCTAGTCGGGAGTAATCGGTCCTAGGCGCTCCTAGGCGTTTTCCTAGGCGTTTTGGCAATATAGCTATAAATTATATATATATTATGTATATAACTATAAAAAGAGGGCCAGTAGACATATCTGATTCCTAGCTGGCTTAGTTTTACATGTTCCTAGCTCCTGCAACCCATTTTAACAGCTACTAGTTAGTAAATTAGTCAATAGACAGCTAGCTGTTCATTAAAAAAAATATAAATGACTTATCAAAACACTACGAAAATATCAGCGTCGTGCAGCTAGCCAGCTAGTACAATAAGACGCGGCGAAAGCACCATCTTGCAGTGGCAGCCTAGCACACGAGGCGAGCCCCCCGAGCGCTCTGCATCATCCCATCCTCTCCCTCTCGCCCTCCTCGTGCTCTCGCCACTTGCTCCAACTCCAGCCAGCGCGCGCGCAGGCACACCCACCGCACCGCACCGCACCGAGGAGGCGAAGGAGAGCGGGAGGCCATGACCATGAGACGCGGGACGAGGGCGCCATGCGCGCTGCTGCTCTGCGCGGCCGTGCACTTCCAGGGCCCTTCCTGCCTCGCCGGTGGAGGAGGCGGCGGTGCCAGGGGTGGAAGCGTCGGAAGCGGTGGTGGAGGCGGCGGTGGCTCCGGCTCCGGGCCTGGCGGCGTCGGCGCGAGGGGTTCCAGTCGACGACGAGCAGGACCGGCGGCGCGCGAGTTGGGGACGAGCAGGGGACGAGCAGGGGAGGAGCAGAGGAGGAGCAGGACCGGCGGGAGGAGCAAGACCGGCGGGATCTGGCCGCGCGCTGGCCTGGCCACGCGGGAATCCCTTCTAATCCTCCCGCGGCTGGGTCTCGTGGCCGCGCGCGGGCCTCCGCGCCGCCTAGCGCCGCGATGCTCGACTATGCCCCTAGTCACGGCGACGGGCTTCGCCCAGCTACTAGGCGCGCGTAGTCGCCGAGTAGTCGCCGCCTAGCCGAACCTTGTACCAAACTACGGTGATAGAGACAACATTAGCGACAGATCATATGCCAAGCCACTGGTGATAACCTTGGTTACCATTGCCCACTTTCACAAATGCTGACAAAAACCGACAGTAAAAGAGGGTTATGAACTAACATTCTATAGTAGTGATTATCCGACTAGATATCCAATATCCGACGAACACTAGCCTTCTTAATTATATTATATTATTATTATTATCTGATGATGTGAAAATTAAAAACTATCAGAATCTTGATTTGATATTTATGAAAATGTTTGGATGTCCAAAAATATATCTAAATTAATATGACTCTATTCGATCGATCAGACGTAAGAAACTATCTGTATTATTTATATCCCTGTATGCAACCTACCCCGCACAGCTACGTATGCTATCCAAGTGTCCATTATCTGTCTGTAAGGATATTCACTACGGGATACAGGAGCCCCAAAAACACTCGGCAAGCGACACTCGGGAAATAATTTAACAGCAAACGTTGTTTGCCAAGTGTTTTTTGTCAGGCACTCGGCAAAGACTTTGCCGAGTGCCCCAAAAACACTCGGCAAATATTTTTTGAAAAAAATAAAAAAAACAAGCATCTTTGTCAAGTGCCCGAGAGAATGCACTCGGCAAACATAAAAACACTCGACAAATTTGAGGTTTCCGGTAGTGATTGCAGAGGATCTCGTTCTTTCATGATTATTCTCAAAGGCTCATACACGGAACTTATATTATATTAGATTAGATAGATACCAGACAACAGATGAAAGACCTTGTCTGCATTACTCTACTTTTGCACAAAACACAGCTTTTCGTAGCTAGTAATGGGAATGGCACTCCGCATGTACTAATATTCTTTCTAGCATACATAGTGGCTTGAGCATACCGTTGTCTCTCCAGCTTAACATTTGTTGCTGTGTGCTATAAATAGGCGACCATTATCGTAGCAAATGAACCAGCCACAATTTAGGTCCTATCCTCCTGCGTCAAGAGAGACTCGTAAAGCCATCAGAGCAACAATGGTTACTAGCGTTCGCTTTATAGTTGGAATTATAGGTATTTTCTGTCTGCAAACTATGACCCTGCTGATTCATTGTTCAACAACTTCGCCTATACCACCTCGCTTATCGTCTCTTTCTTGCAGGATCTGTAGTCTGTGTGCTCCTCTATGCGGTTCCAGTGTAAATGACTACATGCATATCCTGAGCTAATATGATCCCAAACACAGCACGAAGCGTATGTGTGGCTAACTAATTTCTGTAAATTTTTTCCAGGCTGACGTTTAAGAGAGTGGTAAAAGAGGCCAGTGTTGGAGATTTCTCATGCGTCCCATATATCCTAGCTCTTTTCAGTGCCTTCACTTGGGGCTGGTACGGCTTTCCAATTGTGAGTGATGGGTGGGAGAACCTATCACTCTTTGGTACCTGCGCTGTTGGAGTACTCTTTGAAACTTCATTCGTCATCGTATACATATGGTTTGCACCAAGAGACAAAAAGGTACATATACTTAGAGCCTATTTGGATCCCATGGCTAAAAATTAGCCCACCTTGTGAAAATAGATTAAACATGAGCTAATTATGGAAGGGCTAATGGACTCTAACCACCAATTAGCTCTCACGGACTCTTATTAGCCCAAAATTAGCCCATGTTTAGGCTTTTTAATTGGTATCCAAAAACATGGGCTAATTATTAGCTCATGATCCAAACACCCCCTTATTCTGGATGTTTCATATGGAATGCATGATGCTAATGCTTCAGTTTAACCTAGATAGTCATATGAATAGTATCAGTTCTTCGTACATGTGAATGTGATCACTCAAGTTCAAAAGTTTAGAATTTATATATATGTTCACAAGCTCATCAGTGATACTAACATTACCTTGCAGAAGTTTGTCGTGCTAATGGTATCTCTGGTTGTGGGAATGCTCTGCGTAATTGTATCTTTGTCAAGCTTCATATTCCACACACACCATAAGCGCAAGGTATTTGTTGGTAGCATTGGTATAGTGACTTCCATGTCGATGTACTGCGGTCCGCTTGTAGCCGTGGTGAGTACTATCAGTTACCACAGGATTATGGATTACAGATATTTAACTGGAATCATGCATGACAAAAACTTACAACAGTGACCTAATATAGACCAACCACTGTATTTAAAACTATGTTCAAATTATTAGAAAACTAGGTTACTTTCTAATGTAATACAACGTATACTACTGACAAACCAAAATACTATACAGAAATGAAATGAGTTTAGATATGAAGGCTAAAACACTGAAAGAAAAAGGCTTCTAATGGTGCACTGATGGAGGTATTTTCTTAGCTCATCCTGGTTTTCTTTTGTCCTCCCATAATTGCAGAAACAAGTTATCAGGACAAAGAGTGTGGAGTTCATGCCTTTCTACCTGTCATTGTTTTCCTTATTAACCAGTTTTACTTGGACGCTGTATGGAATCCTAGGAAGGGATCCCTATCTTACGGTTAGTATGCAATCTGGATATATTGTCATGTTAGCTAGGTTCTTCTGCCTTTGATTTGCACCACTGTCATCAAGCTGAATTACTGATCAACTTGTTTTGTTCTGAAGGCACCAAATGGCGCCGGGTGTTTAACTGGAATTCTTCAGTTAGTTGTGTACTGCATTTACAGCAGATGCAATAATAAACCACCGAAGACAGTCAATGATATTGAGCTGGTAAATGACCTGGACATAGCAACTAGTCGTCAAGATACAAATGGCTGTAAGCCTTAGCTTCAAGGCCTGCTTTTCTTAAGAAACTGCCTCCAATGCCAGCAGATACAGTCCTGCTATTTGGACATGCAGTTATCTATTTCTAAACTTCTTCAGTGTCATTTCTTTTTGCGAATCTTCGCAGAACAAGTGCTGTGTTTGTAAAACTAGTTTCAATTCCTCGAAGAAATAAAGGGGCATACATAGCACCTGTAATCAGTACCCTCATTGTGCTCCATTCTAAACGGAAAGGATGTTTTATTCATCAGCTGACTGTCGGCCCCGGGCATCTCTCCGTCGCCCGGATCCGCACTGAACCCCTTCTCCGCGTCGTTTGTGGCGGGCTCCGGTGGCTCGTCGTCGTCGCATGCACTCGGACATGTTCTGTTCGACGCGTGCTCGATTTATGCAATCGACTCCTCGGACGAAGGCATGTGCGAGTTCGACGAGGGCTATCTCTCTCCCTCCTTCGACGCGGCGGCGGGGGAAAGAAAAGGCGATGGCCGCAGACGATCGCCCGGCGCCTTGGAGCGCCCCCGCGTCGTCGTCGTGTCTCCTTCATTGCCGACTCTCGACGTCGAGCTTCTCCGGTCGAGCTGCCCAACCATAGCCTCAGTCGTGGTTGCCCCCAGTGGCCCAGTGACTGTGGGGGTCCTTGCTTGGCCGCGGTGTGTTGCAACCCTTCAAGATGCCTTCGCTGGAATGATGAGTGCGCTATTGTTGGCCTGGTGCGGGTGCTGGTCGTGGCTTGGCGTGGGGGCGCCAGTGTTACAGGATTGCTATGCATACTCCTCCCGCACCTCCAAGCCACTGCCATCTCTCGTTAGGCTCCAATGACATCGTCATGGGGCCCTCCCTCTCCATTGGTCGCTCTGCCTTACAGCCTGTCCGGCATTGTTGGCTCGCTCCAGTCACCGCCACTAGAGCTGGAGGAGCGCCTTCCTGGGGTGAAATCTGTGTCATCCAACATGTGGAGGTAGAGACAGCAGAGGCCGTCGGCCCTAGTCGCTCTTGTGGCGGCGTCTCGTGGTGCGCCACGTTGTCTCCTACCTACCTCTCTGAATTCTTTGGTGTGGATGGTGAGAACATTACCATCCATGTGTATGCTCCTATGGACTTCCTAGTCTTCTTATGTTTCAGGGCTACTCTTTTTTTTTTAATGAACAGATATTGACAATGTCTGTTTCTATTGACAATGCTGTGTTATCTAGCCACTGTAGTAGCATGACAGCCGTACTAGGACTAGATGGATAGAGTTGTATATATAGTTTGCCACTGCAACTCAACAAAGAGAGTTCAGATTTGCCATCTCTTATACAAGGCTCCGGCCAACGTTGGTACTTGTATTGTGTGTGTATGCTCTGTTCTCTCTTCTTCTTCTACCTCTAGCCATAGTGTGTGGGGACATACAACGCTTCTTCGTGGTCGGCATGACTAGTGGGTGCTCGGCAACACTAGCGGGTGCTCGACAACACTGGTGAGCGGTCGACTCATCTGAGCCGGTGATCCTGTGGGCCAACAAGTGTTCCTCCAGTTCGCTAATTATGGCATCTCGCCGTGGCTAGCACCGGCTGTACTTTGTTCCCTTTTCCCCCTTCATGAAGCACGTGCCAATGCACGCTTTTGAAAAAACGGATAGCAAGTTAACAGACAAGTTCATGCACGGAGTTCCTGCTGTGCTTGACTAGGTTGCTGGAAGTGAACCATGCCAAGAATCAGTGAAGAATACATCATCATATGCCTGCGTTAGCAACAATAGCCCGTGCATGAAGTCACCAAATGCTACAGGGTACCTCTATAGCTGCCTCGATGGATTTGCAGGCAACCCGTACCTGTCAGATGGGTGCCAAGGTCAGCAGCTCTTTGGAATTCACTTTCGTCTTTCAAGTTTACATCCAGTAACCTGTTCATTGATATTCAGTTTTCCTATACTCTTGTATTGTATGACGCTTGCAGATATCAATATGAGTGCCAAAGTCCAGAACTCCAGATCAGTATCCATGCCACGGAATCTGCATTAATACAATGGGGGATTACAGTTGTTCTTGTGTTTCCGGCACACACAGCATAGATCCAAAGAGACAAACATGCAGTCTAGATGCAAGTTCAGAGAGGGCTGAATTAATGAAAATGTTTATAGGTAATTTTCCGACACTCCAAAATAACTTCAGTACAGCAATGCCTGGGACAGTCCAACTTCTATCAGTTTAGGATTTTCTGCTTGCTAATGCCTGGGGCAGTCCATATACTATTTGTTTACAGTGCTAACGCAATATGCTGCTCCTAATAATTATCTTGCTACTGCCCATATGAGCTGACAGAAGCTAGCATAGTAAAAATAAATGAGTAGCAGCAGCACTAGTATACATGTTTATTGTCTCACTCTACTGTAGCGCTGCTCAGTCTGCTATCATAAAATGTAATAATCATGAATATAAATTATTAGCACAATTCTTGGTGACATATTAGAGCTGACCATGGCCAGATACATTATTCCTTATACTTGAAACTTGTCATATTGTTTCAGTGATTTAGATTGGTACTGCTCCATATATAGCCTTGTTCTGCAAATCAGTCCTAAGATTACCGCTATAGGCAAGTGCAATCTAGCTTGTCAGTTTTATTTATCTCTTCTTTGTCAGTATTTTTTACATTTTTTATTAGAAAAGAGAATTTTTATCGAAGCTATCGTGCTATGTATACCGTTTGAGTGCTGCTCTATCAGTGCTTCACATTGCCATCATTTTTGTATATTTGTTTATTGCATGTTTGCATTTGGTTAATTTTTTGATATAAAGTAATGTGACCTGACCTGACACGACTTCTGATGTCAGCTCCTTTTAATTTGTGTGACTATGCTAGTCGGACATCGTTAACGCAAGCCATTTTTATCCCATAATTTTCTGTGTTCAAACATATTTGCTGAACATCTCTTAAGAATGAATTTGCTAGTCAGCTCACATTTGAGTACTGGTGTGTTACCGCTTAACCAAAACTGCACTGTGCTATTTGTATTCTCAGTGCTAGTTTAAAGCATTAAGCCTCATTCGTGTGGTCAAGCTAGAAGAATGTCACATTTTATTCTGGAACGAATTTGGATACTTAATATTGCTCTGTAACATCAACTTGGCTACTGTGTTGCTACAGGTGTTCACCAGCTCACGCAGTTGGTGCTCTGCTCTTTTATTTGTTCGGCCATAGCAATTCGGATACTTGGATGGCAAACTCCTGGAGCAGCTGTTCCCTTCTTATTGTAGCAGGACTTGTTTTAGTGAATATATTGGTGTTTATGTATGCAAATGTATGGTTGTTGGTGATTTTTTTTATAATTTGTGAACATATTGTTGTTTCTTGATTCTTGATATACGTAAATGTATATGGCTGATAATATTTTATATGAATATGGGTCATATGAAATTATTCTAATTGTGAAGATTGATTGAATGGGCTAGGCCCATTGTTAATGGGCTTGATATCAAGCTACACCAGAGAAAGGCCAGCCTATATGGGCTAAGCTCAATTATCTAGTGAAAGAACCAACCCATGCTATATGGGTCAATTGGGCCAATTTTTTTTATGACAATTATTTTCGTCAGACATTACTACACATGCCACATGCCACGTCATGTGCCACGTCAGATCCCTAGACACTTGTCATCATCTCATCTAATATATTATGACAAATATAGTGACAAATACCGTAGTCATAACATGGTGACAAACGTGCAATTGTCACTAAGATTAATGACAATTGAGTTTGTTAGTCACAGAAGGGGATTATGACTCACCTTCTATGACAGCAGCCATATAGTCACAGAAGGGGTACAATGACAAGAAAATGGCAGTAATTGTCACAATCAGTTAGTCATAGAAGGCCTAACCTCTTGTAGTGGTGCTACACCCATCGAGTCCACTCACGCGCACCTTCTGGCCAGTCAATAAGTACGTGACCTTGCGGGCTGTAGGGGTCCCAGTTCAGGGGAAGCCCTCATCACCAAGGGGATAAGCCAAGAGGCAAAGTCCCTGCTTGCATCGCTCTCGTCTGGAAGCACTTCAGGACCTCAGGAGGGTGATCCCGGAGCAAGCACCGCAATGGCTACTCCGACCTAGGCTTGGATCAGGCTTCGACCCCGATCGACACCAGGAATATACCCCAGAATCTGTATGGCATCCGAAGCCTAACACGCAGGTAGCGCACAGTAGGGCATCAGGCCCTGGCAGGGGCCTGTTTTCTCCGTTCTCGAGAGGCTATGTTGGCCACTTCCAGCGTAGGGTCATGCCCGAGGTGTGACGCATCATGACGAGAGTCCCCACATGGCTACAGAATGAATGCCACTGGTACTACTACAAAACAAGGATATTGTAACACAATCTTGCAACACATTCATCAATGTGTTCCAAAAAAATTTAATAGTAACACAAAACTATATGTTACAGACATAGATTGTAACACAAAACACTTGTTTTATAAAAATGTGTTACTGACGACGATAATAGTAGCACAAAGTTAATGTTATAAGTAAAATGTTACAAAAGTGGTACTATATTATAACACGTAAATAGAACATATCAAATATGTGACAAATATACACCTTATTGTAACACAAAATAATGATACTACTAAAGTGTTAAAAAAACAAATACATGTGGACCTTCCAATTCATTGTGGTTTATGTGATTTTGCAATGTGTCATGTTTGTGTGATTCTACAATAATCTGTGTGCCAAATGTATAGGCAAAATAACTATTTGCTTCATAATCCGAATGTGTTACAATAGATATAAACAAGTGTTACAAACCATGTGTTCCTTTGTTCAATATTTGTGCTCTACCACAATGTAGAAGTGTTATTAGAACTAAAAAAGTGTTACAATAATCACAATAACACTAGGCAAATGTTCCGATAGATTAGTAAATGTGTTACAAACTATGCATTCTACCATAATGTAAAGTGTTACTAGAGCAAAAAAAAAAGTGTTACAGCAAAAATGATTGTAACACTAGACAAATGTTCCTATAGA